TGCGGCGCATTAGCCACCACAAAGTGCTATAATACAGTGCTCCTTCCTTATTTGTGTAGTTCCAACCAGTGCAGCGCATTAGCCAACACAAAGTGCTATAATACAGTGCTCCTTCCTTATTTGTGTAGTTCCAGTGCGGTCCTTTTGCCAACACAAAGTGCTATAATACAGGGCTCGTTATTTGTGTAGTTCCAAGCAGTGTGATGAAACGCTTCCTTCCCGGCTTTTCTAGTCGCAAGGGCCAAGTGCTATCGCGAATACCTAAGAAAGGCAGGGGACTGAAGATGAACACATTGACAAGAAGGGAACATTCAACCAACGAGATGGTTATTGAAACACCCACAGATGCTTCAACCAGCTGTGAGATGGCAGAATCTTCTTCATCATTTCAAAAGACTCTACGTTCAGATCCTGATGTCCTTCCAAGTACCTCTGATCCTACTTGTTATGAAGAGGAGGGCGAGGAGGCGGACGTGTCAGAGGAATGGGAGGAAGACAATATGGAATCTGCTTCCACCACAGGAATTAGTGATCAAGAGGACTGCATGCTGCTGGAGGGCGAGCTACAGAAACAACCAACAATTATACTCCCTTCCACAAACACCGACAGTCCAAACACGAGCATGAGTACATCTGAAGTGCGTAGTAGGGGTAGGCCGAGATCGCTCCTATGGGATCATTACGATGTCCATAATCAGAGGACCACTTTGGCAGTTTGCAGGCATTGCGGTGTGAGCGTCAGCAGAGGAAAAGATATGAGGCATCTTGTCACAACAGGGCTAAGGATGCACATTAAGAGACACCACCCAAATGTGAAGTTGGACGCAGTTGAAGTCGGCAGCACATGCAGCAGTATACAGAGCACTCCAACCACACCAACAGGCCCCATGCAGAAAACCATCGATGCTTGGGGCATGCAAGTTACAAGGGTGAGATCTGGATTTAAGCCGCCATCAGTGAAGGAAATAACACGTCGCCTGGGAGAGATGATGGCTCTGGACCACCAGCCCTTCCGTATGGTGGAAAGGGAAGGTTTCCGCCGATTTGTTCACCTCCTGGCACCATGGTACAATATCCCAAGTCGCAGAACTTTCTCTCGAACAGTCATTCCCGCTTTGTTCGAGGGATGCAAGCAACGTCTCAGAACCCTGTTGAACAAATCACAACCCGTCTATGTACATTTCACCTCAGACATTTGGACGAGCACGGGAGGAGGGCATTCCTATTTGTCCCTGACCGCTCACTGGTGGGAGATGAAGGGTTGCCTAGACTCAGGTCATCGTTGGGCACTCCTGTCCCTTGAGGTGATAGATACGGATCACAGGGCCGACACCATTTCTGAGTACTTGCGAGAGATGATGAGAGACTGGATGCAGCATACTCATTACGGTGGTACTAACTCGGGATTCATGGTCACAGACGCAGGAAGGAACATGATCCGGGTGGTCGAAAATGCCGGCTTCTCAAACGTAACATGCATGGCGCACTTGCTGCATAATTGTGTAAAAGATGGCTTCAAGGGGCCCGATGAGAACAGCGCCACCGCCGTCACTCAACTCATTGAGCGCTGCCGCAGAATCGCGGGCTTCTTCCACCGTAGCTCTAAGTCCGCAAAACTGCTGCGTGACAGGCAGACGCTGGAGTGCCTCCCACAACACCGGTTACTGCAGGATGTCCCCACCCGCTGGAACTCCACCTACATCATGTTGGAGCGCATGGTGGAGCAACAGAGGGCAGTCCATGCTGTCTCACTATCAATTGCGGCTCCGATAAACAAGCTGGTCCCCAACAACCAGGAGTGGATGACCATCACTCAGCTGGTTGAGATCCTAGAACCATTCAAACTGGCCACCGAAAAACTTTCAGGAGAGAAAGCACTACTCAGCCATGTGGTCCCAGTCATCTTGCGTTTGAAGAGCCATTTGGAGTCGCTGGGTGGACACAGTACATTGCAGTTTATGGCTGGGCCCCTGACTCCACAGGCCCAGGAGGTGGTCAGAAAGTTGAATTTCGCCCTCCGTAAATATCTTCTACCGTTGACGGAGAGTAAGACTCATGTTTTGGCAGCACTCT